CCTTCGTGGTAGGCTGGTGTTAAATTTGGGTCAAATTGGTCAGAGGACAGTATAATGTAATCTAAGATGAACTCGGGTTTCAGAACTAAAAAAAAAAAACAATGCGGTCTTTTTGTCGTTATTTATCAACGACAGCAGATACAACGATAAAAATTTGTATACCTGCAAGTACTAGTAGAAGAATGGGAAAGATTGGCCACAACCACACAAAGCTGCAGTTAATTAAATTTTTAATTTTTTTGCTTTTTTGCCGGTTTTTGCTTAATACTCATAAAGTGAATAAACTAGAATATTGAAAATTATTCTCTACATTCCTCGCATAAACACATATTATTTGTTCAATGATATGTCATTTCCGAAATAAATACCGGAGAACGCACAATAAGGAGGATTCGGTTTTTCCTTAGTTCTATAAAAAATTAGGTAATAAATACAAGTACTTCCACCAGCTGTACTACGACCAGCTAAATGTGTCAATGCAAAATTGAATATTGTGGATGTGATGGATTAATTTCTTCTTCATAATCGCATCGATATGGGCATCAAATAGAAGATCTTTGAAAGTAGATACGGTTTGCCCACAACTTACAAAAGATCTACGATATCAATTTCTAGAAAGAGAAAAATTTGGCCAAGACCACGCAATATTATGGAGTATGGAAAATTTAATATTCTTTACTTTTTTTCAGTCTCTCTAAAAATAACGGTGTTGGGTATAAGAGATTCCACTCCAGCCGAATATAACTTTCTTACTTAACTTATTATCTCAATATCGATAAAAATATTAAAACTCTTTGAGAAGAAAGACCCGCATAACTAGTTACCTAAAAACGGCATATAACAATAACGATATAAATAAAGCCTTAGTCCTAATAGCATATTTCATTAATATGTGTGTGAATATGTTTAAGAGCATTTGGGGTTATTGCTGCTTTCGATTTGCTAAATAACTCAGATTACGTTTTCATGGATATGTTTGTATGTAAGGATTAATTGTATGTTAAGAATCTACAAAGAGAGACGAATAAAACAATATTAAACAAAGTGTAGTGAGAAAGCTATAAGTTGCACTTACTTTCCTTTTATTAAGAACAAAAAAGCACACGCACAACTCTCTGTTATAGTTTATTATTATAAAAAAAAAAGAAAAGAAAAAAAGTCAATGTTGGAAACGTGCGAAGCAACCATTTATAAGGAATTTCGTATTAACGGGGCTGTGTTGCCTGACTTGTTGACATTGCCCACACACACATAAAGAAAAGTTGATATATGTGCTTGTGAATTACGCGCTGTTTGTCAGATAAATTACACCTTACTTCGTATCAGCTACAGCAGAAGAAAAAGCCGAGGAAAAATATTACAAGCGTTTAGAATGTTTAAAGTTTTACTTAACATGCAACAGCCATCACACAAAGACATAAGGAAATGTACAGCTATTCTGTTTTGCGGTCAAGAAACTAAATGAAAGCCTTTTCTTTTCGCTTTTATTTATTTATTTTCTTTTTTTGTTTTTTGTGTTTTTTTGGTGAGGAAAGGAACGGAAATAAGAGAACAGCTTGTTTCGCTTGGTTGAATCCTATTTGTAGTGTAGCTTTCTAAAATAATAATGGTATACTATCTCTAACTAAACATATGTCGAGATGTTAAGCACGTGACGAGGTCCAAGCGAGCTCGCTTTCGAGGGATTAATATTATTATTAAGTGGTAAGGTTACTTTGTGAACGCAAATGTATTTATGAAAGAGTAATCAATTTATTGGAATATATCTTTTACACGTGTGCGCACATGCTTAGTAAATAAAATATTTAAAAACAATTACACCTTGACGAGGAGACGATTTTCTCTTTTTTAAACTATTGATCTAACAAAATGGTAACAAATTTTCAACTTTTTAAAAATCTCTCATAAATTGATTAAAAGTAGTCCCGCACTTTGTAAAAAACGTTGCTATGTAAAGAGAGCTAAAATCCGCGACCAATTAGTTGCAAATTGAAGAGATGCAGGTAGCTAAGAGAATATAGTTCTGAAAACAGTTTTAAGCACTTTTAAGTAATGACTTCACTGAAAGAGTGAATTTCGAGCCGCGTGAAAGGTTTGATCCTCCTGAAGACCTCTACTTACCGTCCTGGAATATTTAAGCGACCTTTTAAGACGGCAAGGAAAAGGTTGAAAACTAATTAAAGCAACAGCGTTGCCTTGTTGTTTAAGAAGCCTAAGAGCAATGTCGTATATGAAATACTATGCAAATACTCTAAATCTCCTTTGTAAAGCAAAAGTTTTCAAATTTATGCAAAGTTAGCTCAAATTTATAAATGATTTTGCTAAAGAACAAAACTTCATGTGGTCAATAAATAATAGTAAACTTTCCATTACCGATTAGTTAACGAACTATGATGTTCAAAAAGATGACATATCCAAATTAATTAGATTATGTTAAGGCCAACCAAAAGCAATCACCAGCATTGTATTGACAAAAGAATTTCACTTATATGCCCTTTCTACGATGAACATAATAATTGTCTTCTTCTTTCACTTATTAGATTCTTGTCCATACTTTCATCCCTACGTTATTCTAAAACTTCAGATTTTCTTAGATGCAATAAATTATGTTCCATCTCCAACATGTCAAACTTTCTAAATCAACCTAAACTTTTAAATCATATTTAAACTAATTTGAAATTGTAAGTTTGAAATACCTATACACTCTTACAAAACCACTTGTATAATATGGTAAACAAGAGCATTTTATTCGTAAGCAGCTTAAAACTCTTGTAGCTTTAGTTTTCCCGTTTATTTTAGCTTTTTTATTATTATTAGAAACAAGTGAGAACATTGTAGGGGGCTACGACCCACCGTTAAATACTCTGCCCTGCCGTTGTTCATATAATGAATTTTCAAAATAAGGCGTTATATGGAAACTGGTCGAAAGAGTGACGCGATCCAAACCATTTTCAATAGCGTTCATCCTCAGGCCAAAACACAAGCAAAACACATCAACATATCTAAAAAATTGCGGCCTATAAGCTGAAGACAAGGCAGGCAGACGAACAGACGACGTTAAATCAATTCAGAAAGTGACTCCTAATCCATTGGTACAATAAAAGTTGGGTATATACCAACTCCTTCCGAGTATTGCATACATTCGCGTGAAGTTAACAACCAGTGGAGTAGGATATGATAAATAAACGAATGCGCTGAAGGATATCAGTCTTGGCAGGGAATGATGACAATTACAGCATGTGACGTTACGCATGTGATGTTACGACAAGAATGATGAATAATTTCTAATGAAAATCGAACAGATTATCCTTCTGTTGCTTTCTCTGTGCAGGCATTTTCATGTAACATTTACGTACATTGTCCAGAATTTGTGGTAATTTAAAAAATTATTTTCGTTATATTAAAACGAATTTATTTAAAGTAGATATCCTTAGCATGCAATGTGGTTTTCTAAAACTATTTCCACTTGATTACAGATCATTGACGCAGTTTCTAATCATTTGTCCAAGGTTTGGAAAGTTAACGAAACATATTGCACAAGTTCCTTCTGGTGATTCGATTCGATTAGAAGTCTTAACTAACCTAGAGAAGGCAACTTGAAAGCTTTGGTGGCGCGGAGCGGATGTAGAGCACCACAAAGAGATTGGAAAAAATCCACATATTCTTTGCACTCAAGTTCTATGTGAAACAATTTCACAAGTAAATCGATTACTGTGACGTCGTTATCCTCCGTAGAACGTTTCCTTCTTACTTTAGAAATCATTCTTTTATCAGAGCTCTTTTTATTAAAACCTTTGCTGGAGTAAAAATTAAATTGAGCTTGCACTAATTAAAAAATGCTTACGGGTATTTAAGATCAAGTACCAAGCGTACCAATCCTCTTGAAAGCATTCAAAGGATTCTCCGAAATTTACTCGTGGTGTCTTTCTCTTTCAAAAACTTGAAGTGCATTGTGCCAGCAACTCTATTATTGAGATACTTGGAAAATATCAATCTAACACTCTTGGCCTCATCGTCTCATGCCCGTTCATGGTTCTAAGAAAACTAAGAAAACTATTCATGATGACTGGGATGACTAGTCCTTATGTTAAAAATCGAATTGAATGCTTTTCTCCGAAACGTTTTGTTAAACTAAATAATCACGTATGGGAAAAGTGTAAAAGCATCATATACTGGATCTTTTATTTGGAATTTAATTAATTTTTTTTATTTCTTGAAAAATTTTTAAATGAATTTTCCAAGTTTGTATAGTTTCCTTGTATTTATTTAAACATCACATCTGTGTTGATATACTATACTATATTACTCCCATTGGGGGAGAATAATATTTATTATTTTTCTCATCTTTACTTTTACTCTTTTTGGATAGATTGTAAATTAAATATTTAATAAAAAATGGAAAATTTTTATTGAAAAATTAACATATGGGAGATAAAAGATGATTTGTATTAGTTTTAGAGTTTTTTCGAATTTTTCATACCTTATGCCATTTACCTTTTGACATAATCGGACATGAATTTTCTATTCTTTCTGTTTTTCTTTGATTTAATCTCTTTGAAAATTTGTTGTTGTTTTAAAAAAAACAAATAGGATAAGATTGATTGACTGATTGATTGATTGATTGCATAAATTCACAAGGCGAGTATATGTATAAAAGTCTGCAAACATAATTGAATCAACGACCGTGAAGCTGTTCTGTTAGTCGTTTCCAATGTTGTCTGCCCCGTCTTCTTTCGCTCATGTACTGATTTATAGTGAATGAAGTGGATGAGCTCGAATAAGATTTTACGATGCTCTACTAGATTTTCTCCATTTACTTCTCAAGGATGGTCGGTTTTATGGTTTCGTAAAGCATTCAAAGGTATGTAGAGTGAGACTATTACTCTCATTAAAATATTTCATAATTTCTAATCCCCTGATTATATACCACGTGCCAGCATGCATAAAAGGTATGCATGTAATTGGATATATGTAATTATATGCATGTACAGCTCACTTACCTTGTAACCACGTTGCTTAATTAAAATGTTTTATTTACCTGAAAATAGAAAATGAGAAAACAATAAATGGTTAAAATGCTCTTTAAAAATGAAGGAAGGACTTCGTTAAGTGCCTGTACTTGTCCTTAAGAGGACAATTCTCATTGTAAGTTTTTAATAAAGAAAAACTTTCTCTTTATTAAATGCTTAATAGATGCCTTGAACCTTCTCGAATATGGGGAGAAAAAGTTCTTCACGTGAAACAAATCTATTCTTTGAAATATCGAGCTGCTCCGACAGCGAAAAGTCTCCACCCTTGTCATATGCAAACTTGCTCGGGAGTCAGACCTATCGGCTTTGGAATATTTTTTTAATAGATTAACAGGAGAGAATAAGTTTATGTTCATTTAAAAAGAAATTTCAATGAAAAATACTTTAATGTATGATAGCTTCATTGAGACGGCAATTGAGTAGACACGGGGCTGACAGCGTTTGGCTTTTCCCAAGAAATTAAAAAAGTTTAGGATGAAGTTCTGCAGTCTATTGCAAATTCGTCTAATGAGCTGTATGTTACCGTTGCGTTTCCTTTCACATCACGTAAAAGGCAAACCGTCCAATTTTGCCACCACAACAGACAAACGATATAAAGTCTAACTTTTATTCCGTAAAAATCAAAAAAAAGGCCCATAACGTCACGTAGTGTGTAATTTTTTTCTTGTTTCTTAGCCTTTTTTAGGATAAAGCCTATGGGTATAAAAGATTCGGTTACGGCCGAATATATTTTCTTACGGACTATTAAGTAAATATGTGATACATAATTGCCTCCAGTATTGTCGCATTGTCTTTCTTTCCGTCCTAAAAAAGACAAAAAAAGACACTTGCCTAAGTTAGCTTAAGTTGTTACAATTACGAATTTGTATATACGTGAGAGGGATGTTATCGGAAAATTCGTAGAAGGTAATCAAGAACAATGATTATTAAAAATAATTCGAAGAAGTGAAGACAAGTATGTGCCTAAGGCATTCCCATCAATAAGTTGTCAACAAATTCCTTCGTCTCTTATAAGAGACTCCATAACCTGCCCTACTGATAACATTTGCCAAAAGGCACACAATTTTGCAGAGATGTATTAAACTGGTCGCACGTATGTGCACTACAGTAGAAATTCGACCCATGAAGAGATTTCAGAAGCGTGCGCAGTTTTGCTTTGCAAAACTTAAAGGTTCCTGTGCATCGATTATCTATCGCAACAATGAGTAGCAATACACGCCACGTCCCAGTTGTCCAACTTAATAATTAATGTAGGCTGTTTGATGACAAAAGTTGAGAAGTGGACGTACCAGACCCAAATATCTCTGACTTGACTTGAAGAAAAGCAAATAAAAATTAGTTAACTCTCGTGAAAAAGCCTTATATTAATTGATCAAAGAAGTATTGAGTTATGCGATTCATTTATTCTGTTCATAGGAGCGAAGATAATGATGCTCGAGTTCACCAAATTCTATCCCTCTTCTTAAGTTAATACTTTCGGATAAATCAACATATGTCAGTAAAAAACTCTGAGATGATAATTTTTCCGATCACGCAAAGCATTTACTTTCTATAAGACTTTATGTTTTCCTTCCATTGTAGTTATGTATTATTCCAACGTATTATCATAATTGGTTATTCAGTGTTTATGCTCAGCATAAACGCATTTCTTGCCAATATGTTGATGCTCTAGTTGAGGTTGTTTTAATGTTTTTTCTTTTTTCGTTATATTTTTTTTTTTTTTGCAATAAGCCACAAATTTGTTTTTCGATTATTTTGTTAACATTGATTCAAGTGAAAAGAGATTTCAGTTTATGTTGTTGATGTTATTGATTATCATTGCCACAGGTATAAAAATTGAAAAACAATGAATAAAAAGAATTTAAGTAATAAAGTTAAACAAGTTATGTGCTTTGAGTACAACTTTTGCTCTTTGTTTCTTAATTTTTGTATAGCCTACAACACTTGTGGTACACGGCTGCATTAAGTTTGCGAGAATGTGGGTAACACACAGAAGACTTTGAGATAAAACAACTTTTTATTATACCGATTGAGACAGAATCCCTTAAGCTTGTGTATCTGCCTGCCCATCTGTCCATCTTCATTTTTTGTGTTCAACCTGGAGGCCGCAATTTTTGAGACGTTTTGATAAAACTATACATCCTGGCCCAAGAACAAATGCTGTTCATTCCTTATTCCTCAATTTGAAATGCCATTATGAACAACTGTAGGGCGGTAAAGGGTTTTCTATCGTGGACAGTGATTTTATTTGCTTTTCGTTAAGTTCTTTCAAAGTCAATAAAAAATTGGTAGTAATATTAATTAATTGTGTATTTATATAACATGAACGCTTATAAATTTCATATTCTCAAATTATTTCGTGAAATACTTAGGTAAGTTCTGGTTCTATTTGAGGAGCCACGTTGAGGATATTTTTGGCCATACCATTATTTATAGTAGAATGTAAAACTTAAGAACGCTTTACCGCCAATGCCAGTGTCACACTGAATAATCATATACGAAGTTGAAATCAATAGAGTTTGTATGCATGTACATACTCGCACTTGACGTAAATAAATTTACATATATAGGTTCCTTTTCATACGTTCTTATGTCAGATTTTTACATTCAAGAGAGTTTTTTATGTTGAAAGAAAAATTTCAATAAAAAAATTCAAGACATACGTTAGCGTGTAATTCAATACTAATAGAGTAAACATGCTTGCAGATAAATGCTTTTTTAAATATTATACATATCTCTCTAATGTATGTAAGCTCATGTACGCGCGTACTCATAACGATAGAGACACACATATATATATATATATGTATGCACAATTTGTAATATCCTTTTATCGAGAAGTTGTACAGGAAATTGTGTAAATTCCATATATTGCCAGAGACATTTTCATGGTAGATACGTGAATACATTATATACATATTTGTGTAAATTTATGTACAGTTTAGGGCAAAATAGTTTTAATCTTTCTTTTATGGTTATTTTCTTTTTATTTCTCTTTCTTCTATGAAATATTAGAAATCTTAAGATCCTTGAAACCATGCCAACCATGTATCGAAAATTTTGTCTTACATCAATCAGGCTTGCTTTTCGAGTCCAGCAGAGCCTATTGGAAGCTTTAGAAACCACATAATAAGGTGCCACATGAAGGTGCACGTAGGAAGAAGAAGATTTTGCTGAAAACGTAGCTTTGTAATGTCGTATAGATTCAACATGCAAACAACAAAACCTAAGCACCGCATCTGTGCCACTTATCGTGAATAGTTGTAACTTGATGAGCAATCCAAAATCACTTAACACAACGCACTTCTACATTGCGAAGTGCAATTTGATTAGTTAGTGCGCAATTTCGTTGCGGGTTTTTTTTACACAAGAATAAACTTGTTATCTTGGATGAATTAAGTTTTCCAGCAATCGCACGAATCGTTATTTATCGATCAGTTTCCGTCAAACCTTTAGTTTGTTAGCGGCACTGGTCTTTAACCTATCAAAATACACTAAGACTTTTAATGAGGACTTAAAGAAAGAAATTTCGCAAATCAATTTTGGCAAGCGCGTACTGGTACAGCATTAGTTACATTCATGGCACATCTTTCGCTATATGTTTTTGCAGCTCTCTTACCTTTTTTGTAGCAAAGAAGTAATATATGTATTATGAGCTCACTTTGATCTTCCACCTCTTACTTATGTCCCACTAGTGTAATGCAATGCGATTAGGTAGAAAGTTTTTTTCAAAATAATTGTACATAATTATATACACATTTAATCCTAATTGTCTGTCTAGCTAACTGAATGAAGTTATTTCATCCTGGCGCGACGAAAATTCACAAGAAATTTCCCGACTGCCTAATATTTTTTTCTCTTGTCTTACACCTTTATTCTCTAGCACTTTTTTTTCAAGTGGTCATCATTCGTAAATCAAAGATCAACACGTATTCAGGCTCATTATTACTTAGTCAGTTACAGTTGCTCCTACTTGAGTTGGCAGCTGATAGATGTGCCTTACATCACCTTTCAAAATACCCAAGACATCTTGTTCTCACAATCATCTCTTTACCCTTTCTAATCATCTTTACTCAACAAGGGCTAAAAACATACATATTTTCTGTCGATTCCCTAGATTTTTTGTTTTATTTTATACTTTAATGTTAAAAAAGATAAACTCAAGAACTAATCTTGACATCTAAGAACAAAGTTGTAAATGATTTCTTTCTCAACAGTGTAAAACAAGTTGTATTTATTGATCGAATTTATAAAGCAGATAATAAAAAATATTAAAATAAATACACAGACGAAATAGAAAACTTTTCACAAATCTTGTTGAAAGGATTTCCTCCGTAACCAAGTAAAAAAGGGGGGATTTCTTTCACTTACTACAGGAATTTTGTGTTTCATAAACATAGAGACACATATGTCTCTTATTACATTCATCTAAGCGATTGTCAGTTGAAGAAATGTTTGCGTTTGTATTTCACTGAATGAATGCGAAACTTGTGCTTCAGTTGATGCTTATATTATATTTGAAAAGTGAAAGCTACGCATGTTTGCAATTATGAACGTGAACTTGTATAAAATTGAGTTCGCTTAAAAATGAAACGAAAAATTGCTCGGAAAAGCAATGAAACATATAACCTTCACTTGTAAGGAAATAACTCAACTTCTACACGACCGTTTGCCATTCAAATTTGAATGTTAATGATTGACCTAAGTTTTCCATGTCATGCAGCCGTTAACAGATGTTAATCTAAAATTTTGTCTCGCTTTTGTCCAAAGTGGTTTTGAAAGAAGTTCCTAAAAAACCACGAAGTAACAGCGATAGTTATTGAGAAGTTTTTATCATATTCGTAACTATTATAGCACATATGACACTTGGATTTGGAGGGAATCATAATTGCGGACAAGCATGCCAGAATGGAAGGAATTTTATTAAAACTCATGCAATTTTTTCTTCTCAACTTTTCCTATTGTACGTTGTCGACTTGAGGTTCGGCTGTCATTTACTTCGCGTTGC